GCAAACCTCAAAACCATTTATGATAAAAAGCCTTATTTTTGTAAACAAATAGCTAGAGTATGAGCCACAATAACGATACTTAAAGATTAGGGGTGGGCACGGTTCGATTCGGCCCGGTCTGATTTTTGAAGACATGGAATTAGTCCAAACCGGTCCGGTTCGGTTTTTTACGGGTTGTTAACTTTTTGGTCAACTCGATTTTTTTCGGTTTGGTTCGGTATGATTCGGCTTGAATTTCCGGTTCGCCGGTTTGAGTGCCCACCCCTACTTAAGACTTCTTAAGCACACAATTAACCTTTAATTATGTGATGTGTACATAACATCAAATCCATACTTTATATGTGGTAGCTTTGACCTCAAAAAAAAAAAAAAAAAAAAACTTGATATGGGGTAGATATTGCCATTCATAATGTTTTTATGAAGAATAATAAGAGTAATGCTACTCTTACCACATTCTTATACCACATTATGTGGCAAACGAAGTGAATAACCACATCAATTAAAAAGTGTCAATAAATTATTAAATAAAATAAAATATGATTGTCCACTTCATCTGCCACATAAAGTGATATCAAAATGTGGTGTACAAATATGATAAGAGTAGCATTTTCCGAAGAATAAACATGAACAATGTTGATAGGCAACAGTGGGCGCACCAATATATCACAACATCAACAATTCAAATTCAAATTCTGCAAGCAAAGTTACCAAATTGGTTGAATTGGCACAATCTTTTCTCATCTGGGTTATATATTATTGGTACCACTATTTGGTGACAGAAAGACATTCCAAAAGAATAATCATGATTAGAGTGAGCCCCAGTATCATTGAATTGTGACCATCCGATGCGTGGACCATTTCCGTTGACCATCTGATCTGATGCCGACTTTAACTTGTGCCAGTCAATTTATGAAGGGCTGGAAATGGTCCTTCATATGCAGGGCATCATATGATGTACAAATCAAAGTCGTTAGGGATAATCAATTTCTTGGACCACAAGCAATTAAGGCATTTTAGTAACCCATCAAAAAAAATTGATGGTCCTCCTAATTGGTGACCATGTGAATTCTCATTGGGTGTACGTACCTCCCAAATTGCCCTATCATGAGCTTGTGGTTGTGGATGATATGAAACTTAGGGCAGGACCACAATTTGGGTTTGTTAAGCAAAGTGCATTTGCTTAAAGATGCTTTTGTGAGGTTGATTTGCCTAAGTAATGGTCTTTTTAAGAGTGATCATAGAACCTAATCGCTTTCTTTCCTTCTTTGCCAAATTTCTAATTGTACCCATGTTGTCAATTTCTTCTACGTAAGCCCTTAAGTTCATATTTCATATTTAGCCATTTTAATTATAATTTAATCAACTAATACCTCATTCGCAATCCTAAAAAGTATTTTATATACATATGATTGGATACATTGTGGATAGGATTCAAACCAGAGCCATCGTCCCTAATTCTTGCATGTTTATGTTATCTAGCTAAAGTTAATAAGGTTCAAGAGGTATGTTTGGGCATTTGTAGCTCGTAATGTTTTGTTATAAGCACCTACAAAAAAAAAATCTTTAAAAATTCAAGTGGTTATTGCATATTTACTTGTAATTATAAAAAGTTAAACCAATTTTAAAGATCCAAACAATTCTATTTAATTCATTGATATGAAATCATTCAACAAAGCTCCAATTTTAGATATAGTCAAACTTATATGGATACCATATATAGCATTGAGATATTAAAAAAGCTCATTACATTAGGTTGGTGGGAAGAGGCATCTAGTCTGTGGCCTCAACTAAAGGACATAATGACATATAGATGTAGGACTTTGAACCTTTGTTTTGGTAGGGCAGTTATTTATTTATTAAAAAAAACACAATTCATGTACACAAATATAAAAATATAGGCAAAAAAGAATTTGAAAAATAGTAATAATAAGGAAAAAAGGTTGAGAGAGGGGCTTATTGAATCGAGAAATAGGTTTGATTGTCCATCTTTTTGATATAATAATATACTAGTTTCTTCGCACGCGTTTTCGTGTCTGCTAGAGGTTTTTTTTTTAAAAAAAAGTTTAAATTTATTTTAGAATTAAAAAAGATACTGGGTAGTTGTATTCCATAAAAATATGACCATTATCTGATTTTTCTTTTAATTTTAATTTTTTTAATATGAAAAATTGTGAATTTACTATATTAACTTCATTTAATCAATTTGTAATGTTTATATTAACTAAGGGTATTTTCTGATATTTTTACTTGTTTACTAATTATGAAGGTGATGGAAATAAAGGGCCCAATGGATGCAGGTGGCCATCATTCGGGATCTGATGGGCCACACCGCCATTTGCAAATGCCACCTCTTGCCTTAAATGGGATTGCAGAAGAAAAATAAAAAAACCCATTGACGTTGAAAACTCTCTCTCTCTCTCTCTCTCTCTCTCTCTCTCTGTTCATAGAGAGTGAAGTGTCCTTATTGTGTGAAACCTAAGATTCGATTTGTATGTTGCTTCATCGAAGCAATTTCGGTCGGAACAAACCCCACCAGCTGCTACAAGCCTACGATTATATTCTTTGAAAAAACTGCAACAAACCCTGAATTGTCAAACTCATCCACAACATCGTACCAACAATGCTAGAAAAAAATAACCCACGAATAATTATTATATTTTATTTATCAGCGGATGGAAAGATTCAAACTTGAAGAAAAAAGTACCGTTAGACCAAGAGATTATTAACAGAAAACTCACGAATTTGAGTTTGCCTCGGGGAAAAAGTTTATTGGTTAGTAAGCAATATAGTTAAAAACTAGCAATCGAATTAAATGTTCCCACTCGGGTCATTATGATGAAAAATAATTTTGTCAAGTACTATAGTTTGGAGTCTATGGAGAAATTATTTTTAGATCCTTTATTTTTTGGGTTTCTCTTTCTTTTTGTTCACATGCATGGAGATTTTAATCATCCTACCATCTGAGTTAAGGTTTCTAGAAAAGTTAACAACTGTAATCAATTAGAAAGATTTTGTAGATCTTTTCGGATGGTGATTAAAGAATTTAGCTATAAAGCAGTTGTAATTACGAGGGAATTTAGTCGAGAGCAAAGTAATATGATGACAATGTCCTTGGGATCCATCCATGACATTTGACTTAACGTTTGTAGGTAATCACTTAGTTAGATCAAGTAGATCTTTCTAGATAATGATGAAAGAAATTAGTTATAGTTAAGAGGGAATTTAGTCGAGGTCAAATATGCTAATAATTTAGTTTGGGATCACGAGTTTCTACAATCACACACACACTCATCAACGATTGTCACTTATTCATATTTACAAAGACAATTGATGCTAGCATTTATCTGTTATCTAATACAATAATCGACAATGATTTCGGGATAAATGTTAGGCTCTTGAAGTCTAACCATTGGAGTAACTATCGGGAGAGTCTTATCTTACCCAAGGTCACCACCACCGGGATTTTAGTGACATCTGTGTTTGTAATGCTTTATTAACTTCAAAATCAAGCAAGAACTAGTTTTGTCAACCACCACACCCTCATTTTCTCCAAGTTTGGGTATGATAAGTAAGATTTTGGGTGCATCCCGAGTGGTTAATAGCTTTGCTTCATTTGTCTTTTTCAAGCAATTTCCAAGATGTGAGAAAGTGATATGTGTGTGTGTGTATATATATATATGCATGCCTGCTGGTATACAGTAAAACTCCATATTGCTCCAATAGCTCAGTAAGTGAGAGCTGTATCGTGCTCCTTTAGGAAAAAACATGATCAAAAGATTTCAATTATGGGTTGACTAATAATGTGAGCACTATATTTACCATATATGATGGAGCAATATATCTTGATGATTAATAAGTTTCATGCCCAAGTAAAGGGCTATGATTAAAACGTGGGGTCTTTTCGCTTTCTGAGATTTTGATAATATAATATGTATAATTGGATTGAAAAAGTGGTGGTCCAGAATTACCTTTTTTTTTTGTTGGAAGACATTTTTTATTGAAATAGGCGATAGTATACTAAACTCAAATACATTATACGGATGGTATGACTCAAACCCAGAACATTTTCTTAAGAAGCAAATGCTCCAAATCACTGAACCAGTGGATCATTTGCAGTGGTCCAGCCTTATTTGGGAGTAAGAAATCATTTTGACAGCGAAATTTGCATGCCATGGCAGTAATAAAAATGGGTACATGATGCATATCTAGGTCCTCTGCAAAAAGGAAAAGAGTAGGGTAAAAAAAGAGAGAGTAAAAGGGTAGGGTAAAGATGAAAATTGAAGTCAGTGTATATGATTTTCATTGTTTATCAGTAGAAGTCAATTTTCCATTGAAGTTGTCTGAAGATCTACACCCTTCAAAAAAAAATTCAAAAGAACAAAAAACCCTAGCTAGATGGAAAATGAATAACCACACACAAGGCTAGCTAATGTTAATCTCTCAAATCTCATCCCAGCCGCCCCCTCCCCACCCCCCAAAATGGAAATTAATACAGGCAAAAAACACAATCACATGCATACACTTGAAAAAAAATACCAAATCCTACCCTTTTAAATCTCTCTCACTGATCTCTATTTCTCTATGAAAAGTAATACCTAATTAGAGCTAGAGATCAATAATGGTAATGTACAAGAAGTGTACAACTAGTAGTCGTTGAGGTCCCCTCCTCCCCCCTGCAAAATCAACACCACCACACCATGCTTTCTTTCCCTCTCAAAGTTCCTCTTTCCCAATGCCCTGCAGCAAGCTTGCTTCTTGTCAATCTCAAAAGTAAAGGGATCATAGACCTAATTCTCACCCTTTTAATCCACCCACAAATTTTTTTTTTGGTTGTGGGTTTTCCATTTTTCTTTTCCTCAATTGGAGAAGCATGCCAACTTTTCCATGGTTGCAACAATTTTTTTTTTTGCTTATGGCAAAAACCATATTAAAAAAAAACCCCTCCAAATGATCATTTGGTATGATTTTTTTCTTGGCGAAACCCAAAATCTCCATCTCTCTCTTTCTCTGTCTCCCAGCTGCCTTTCTGTGTCTTTAGCTCATCAAATCAAAATCATCATGGTGATGATGATGATGATAGTGGAAAAAGTGAACCTTTAAAGGGAGTACAATGCTTTGCCTCAGCTTTCCAACACCGTTCAATGTCCTCGGCAATTCTTTTGGCATCCATTGTGGCACCAAGTATTCCGCGTTTGGTGAACCCCACGGCATACAACCCACATTCACCTTTCCAACCATTTGGAAATGGCCTTCTAGGCAACCCATCTTCCTTTGAAAACATATCTCCCTCCTACAATGACACAATATTGCAATTAGAAAGCATAACTCAATATATAAATTAGGGTAAACTTTTATTGCTGGACTTATAGACAAATCCTTTTGAATTTAGACCACGTATTCATACAAGATTCAACATGTTCACTAGTTCAGATTCATTTTCAATTGAGACAAAGAAAAAAGAAAATAGGGTTACATAGTAGTAGGATTTAAGTTGGTACCTTTAGCCAAATGGGTACATTGCTTCTGTAACCTGTCGCTAAGACAATGGCATCAAAGTTCTCCGTCCGTCCATTGATAAATTCTATAGCATGACATTTTAGCCTCTTGATAGCTGGACGTACCTACCAATTCAATAGTATAACAAGTGAGAAAATCACGTTTTTGTTTTTGCCTTAATTCCGGAAAAGAACTAATGTTGATACATAAGGTCTTAAATTACTGTGTGACAGCATGTTAGACTGTTTGATAAGAAAAACAAAATTACCTGCTGGCATGAGTATTACATGAAAAAGCATATCTAGGTGCCATCATTGAAAAAGTACTGGAAATATAAAAAGCCATGCTTTCCAAAGACAAAAAAATAAAGAAAAAAAATAAAGTGAGATTAAGATTTGACTTGATGAAAAAGCTTAGTACCTCAATGTCTCCACTTTCGATCTTGGCCAGTGTACCAACGTCTAAGACCGGTGTCTTTCCAGACAAGTTCTTGAGCTCCAAGGGACCTAATTTCGGGCGGTCCAATCCGAGTCGGGAGGTGTTGCCGAGAAGTAGCCGAGACACAACCAGCAAGAGGCGATCTACCAGCCTTATAGGCAGCCACTTGAGCAACAACATGGACAGCCCAAAAGTTGATTTTCCAAGCATCTCTCTCGGTAAGACATGTACCTAATTTATTCCCCCAAAAAAAAACCCAAAAAATATATAGTTAAAATTACGCTCGAAAAAAGGTCAAAAGGGCAATCAAAATTGAACATGGAAGTGATGTGTGAGCCCCATTTATGTTGTTTGCCTTGCCTGGCTAAGCAGCTAGCTAGCTAGCTAAGGACTGAGAATATTAAGGTTACTGATATTTCTTTTTCAAAACATAAAAAGAAAAGGGGAGCTTGGGAAATCAAAAGGGTATGCTGAGTTTCTTCTGACCAATGTTACGCACGCTTGGGGAGTCCCAAGAAAGTGAAAGATCGAAGAAATTTTGTTTTGCCAAAAATGGGGGTTTTTTATATTCTTCTTGCTTAATCATCTTTGAGCAAACCGTTGGAACTTGAACTAATAAGTGGGTTGGGTTGGGGCTGTTTCTTTTTTGGACAAAAACCAGTCAATGGGTTTTTCTTAGAATCTAAAAACTCATTCAAAGTTTAAGTCTTTGTGTAGTGAAAAAGAGAGGAAAAAACCAAAATCAAAAACTCAAAGACAGCAAAAACCTTAGAACACTTTAATGGCATTTGTTTGAAGATTGAGAGAGAGAGAGAGAGAGAGTTCTTACTGTGTCTCTAACCACAAGAGAAGGCCTTGCATTATGATTGCATAGATCTAAACACACCTCCATGCCTGAATTTCCACAACCAACAACCAGAACTTTCTTCCCTCTAAACTCTTCACCACTTTTGTACAAACTTGTGTGCCTAATAGGCTCTCCAAACTCAGCCATTCCCTCAAGCTTAGGAACACACATACTCCGTCTCATCGCCGCCCTTGGCTCCGGTGGTCCTCACGCGCCAAAACCCGAGCTTGGAATCAAACTCGGCACTGGCCACAGCCTCATTGAACCGTGGCCTAATGTCGAACTTGGTAGCATAATCTTCAAGGTACTGAATGAATTGCTGCTTTGTAGGGTAAGTGGGGAAATCATTGGGAAAAGGCATAAAGGGTAGCTCACAAAATTGCTTTGGCAAGTGAAGTCGAAGGCGATCGTAGGTCTTGAGCTGCCACAAGGAGGCTATGCAATTGGATCTCTCTAGGATCACACTTGGTACACCTTTTAATTGGAGGGATGCGGCTGTAGCAAGCCCTGATGGACCTGCACCTACGATCACCGGCCCAGGAACACACACTACGATTCGGGGCGATGGCGATGATGATGATGATGATGATGATGATGATGGAGATGATGGTGGAGATGGTGATGAGGAGGAGGAGGACTTGCTCTTCATTTTTTCAATGAAAATAGGATCATGGGCTTGCTTGCCTTGTATTTCTCTTGTGTTGTAGTAGGCCATGGACATATGTGACAACATGTAACAAATTATTAATGCAAGAAGAGAAGAGAAGAAATGAAAAGTTGAGGCAGAAGAGTTGAGTGGTCTAAGAGAAAGAAGAGAAGTGAGAGGAGCCCATTTGGGAGAGGGAGAGGGGGGGAGTTGTTTTTGTGTGTGTGATTTTAGTCCAAGTTTTTGAGTGTTTTAATGAGGGATTAAGGTGGAGATTATGGGAACAGAGTTAGTGGCGAAATGTTTCTCTCTTTCTCTCTCTCTTATCAAGGAAAGATTAGGCTTGGGAGAGAATAATTCCTTGAATTTTGGAGTGGATTAAGAGGGTCTTATCCATTTGTGAGAATGAGTAATTCGTTTTTTTCTAATCTTAATTTTCTGTGTGATGTTCAATGGGGTGTTTAAGCGGAAGAATGAGCTACAACTACGGGACTAAATCAGCATTCAACACAATGAGAGAGAGAGAGAGAGAGAGAGAGGGTGATATGTCTATTTATATTCCTTATTGTTCTCACACAGGAATTTATATGAGGAAAGGCTAAGTGCTAAAGAGAAGTAATGCAAGTGGGGACATGATATATTAATATTAACATTATAAAAACATTCTTTTAAATAAATAAAAATTTCTTATCCAACAAGTTCGATTTGAAGCACTGTTCATGAAAATTGATTATTGTTTGAATGCGTAAGTCTTTTAGCGTGACACATAAAATTAACAGTCTATTTATTTGTCATTAAGATTAATAAAATTATAAAAAAAATATTTCTTAAAAGACAGAAATTCATTAACGAAATCCTAAAATAATTCGAATTAGGATAAGTGGTCATGAATCTAGATGATTAAGCGAGTGAATTATTGAGATTAGATAATATGGATCGGACCGACTTGGCTTGGGCCTCGGGCAGGTGGAATATGAATTGTAACCCAGATGTCATCCACAATATTACCTTGGGATATTTTCAGATGCTGTGGTTGATTTGTAATCATGGAAATTAAAGTAGCCTTCAGCTGGTAGCTATAAACAAAAAAGATGTTGAGGAAAAATAATAATTAAACTCAAATTTTTGAAAATGATAATTTTTTTTTTCTAAATATTTTGAAATTCCTGTATTTGGATTGGGGAGTTAGTTAGAAGTTGTTTCAGTTGAAAGAAAATTTCAAAGCATGTCGAATTATTTAGAACTCTAGAGAATTTCGATGACTCTTTTTTTTATGTTCATTTTTAAAATTGTTAAAAATTAGAGTTTTATTTAATACTGAAACGGTAGTAGGCTTGGCATTTGATTGGTGTCCATATAATTATTTAATATTGAATTTGGGAAATATATATATATTTTTATTTATTTAAATACAAGCGATTTGGGTAGAGGGGTTTTCTTACACAAGCTATTAAGGTGCCATGAGGGTTCGAAACTGAGACCACTAATCTACAAATCAAGGCTTTTTTCATTGGATTAGACCCCGTTGATGGAAAATATACTTTAGACTTAGAGCATTATTACTTTTCAATTTTGGCCTAAACTTATTTTGTGAAATTCACATGGGACTTACTAATGGGAGAGAGAATTGCGGAAAAAAAGGTTGCAAAATTAAATAGTTAGGCTACACAAATTACAAAATATGACTGGTTGTTATTGTTGTGGAAAATTTATAGCCTGGTAGTTAGTGATAGTCAGAAGATAGAAGTCAATGGGTGTCTGAGGTTGAAAACGAAGGGTAATTAAAAGCCATGTGTGCATGACCATGAAATCCACACTGTGAAAACTAATTTCTAACTTCTTCAAGAGAAAGTATAAAGTTTGTTTAGTGTTCAACTTGAATCCAACTTTTTAAACTGAAAAACAGAATTTCAGTCCAAAACAAAGAAAACTTGTTTGGTAGCCCTATTTTTAAAAACTCAAACTCAAGAACAACTAAAAAACACCCACATTATTAAAAACGAAATATATCTGTTTTTTCAGTTTTTTTTTTCCAACAACCCACAAGTTCTCAAATTTTTAAAATTCGAAAACAGTTTTCAATGTGCATACCAAACAAGTTTTTGAATCTTAAAAATGGATTTAAGAACTCCTTGTTTTTAAGAAAAATAAAAAAATTTAAATTCCCTATTTGAATAGGATATTAAACGCTCCCTAAGTTTTTTTGGGGAAGTTATTTACTGCCCAACACAAAGTTATTGAGGCAAAAACCGAATTCTTGTTGCATTACTTGACTTAGAAGAGTAATGTTAAACGAGGTTTTAAGTTTGAATGTTCAGTCTTCATTAATAAAACAAAATACCATCATATTTTATGTTGTTAAAAAAAATAAAAAAAAATACATGCATGAAGGCGTAGCTATTTTCCCTCAGACGTTAAAACATTGTAGCTAGCAAGCTAGCCTATATCCAAGCATGCATACCTAATCATTGGAAAATATCAACGACCTAAGAGCTTTGTGGAAAAGAGGCCCATACAATTATTAATGACTTGGACGTACGAATTAGATGGCCACCTTTGAGAGACAATGTAGGTGGTTATCGACTTCTCTTCAAAACAAATCATATCGACACTCATTGGTGACATGAAGTATGAACTTCCTGGTTCAATGGAAGTAGATTCTTCGTCTTCTAATCCCCTCAGTGCTCGATTTATCTGTCCCACTCAAAATTTCCATTGAAATGATGTCTTTATTTGTTCTCAGAGCTGTGCTTCGGTAAGTTGCTGTGTGTGAGTGGGGAACTCCCTTTAACATCTGCGCATGCAACAAAATGAGATAAATTATTGCCACATCTTGGGAATACAATATGTGTATATTATACAGAATTTGTGGCGAAATAAGTATATATAAAAAATATTTGCATTTATTTTATCTGTTACATTTTTTTGGATGTGATTGATGATGGAGAGATACAATTATAGATAAGTCGAGGAATTTATGTGAGAGTTTATGAGTAGGTGGAAGGAGATAGAATCTAGCTATCATATGTATGCATTATACTTGGTGTCCGTAGTCCTGTATAGTAATGCAGTCCTTGTACGTTTGAACATTTCTGAAACACATTGCTTTCAAACCAGAGCTCAGCTTTGTGAGAATTATTTATTTATTTATTATTTTTATTTTGCATTTATCATGGATAAGGTCAAATGATGATAAAATGGTTTGTGCTTCGGTAAAGGTTGGTGTAGCCTTGATGTATGCCCTTTTTAAAATTATATATATTTTTTTGTATGTATTATGTATTATATATGACCTTTCTTTTTTTTCTTTTTTTTTTTGTTGGGGGGAAATAAAGGCGCGTTTGGTATAGGGTAATATCATGGAATGGTGGGGACTGATATGCCACCAAATTTGGTGCATGAAAAAAAATCGCAGAGAGCATCTCCATTAGGAAAAATGGTGTTTTATTTTTTGGAAATAGGAACAATATAAGTTAATTTCCATATATATATTGTTAGAATTGACTCCATTTGAATTTTAAAAAAAATAGAGAAAAGCGATAATTATATTCATAAATTAGGCACAAAGACCATCAGCCACAAGGGCAAATACAAATGCTCGGGGTAATACAATATGGAAACATAGTAACTACATAGGGTTAATCTAGATACAGGCCACAAAAGCCCAGAGAAATTTCGTCACAAAAGCCACATGCCTGAACAAACCAGACATGAATCACAGTGCCCAAATCTACCAATACAACTATATCTAACTCTCACAAGTACAAAATACAAGTAGAGACTATAAAACAATCAAACACCCAACTCACAAGGAGTTGATGCAATTATTACAAAATAAGAAAACCTCAAACAAACAACCAAAAACCAACATAGCTACTACCGCCGTTGTTGGTACCACCACAACAGACGTCGTCGTAGCCTTGGAGACATAGAACACCAATGAGATTGCAGCCAATCACCTTACAACTAAAACACCAACCAATAAAACCACAAATTCAAGCAGATTTAGACACAAGTAACCTCCCCACAATTAAAACCCCAAATCCAGTAGATGAGGAAGGGGAAAATAAGTGGGGTTGGGAGGTAGGGAAAAGAGAGAGATGAAGAGAGGAGTGGCCTTCTGCCCCCTCCCCCCCGCGTTGGGAACACATCAAAAGAGGTTTTGAGAGAGAGAAGGGAGAGGCTAGGGTTTAGAGAGTTGTTGACTCCATTCCCGAAGGAAGAATATGGGGTCCTAACTTTTATATTATTATTTTTTTGGTATAATAAATTATAAATATCAATGAAAAAATAGAGTTAGAATTAAGATTAATCATGAATGTCATCTGCCAAAAGTCTTGATTATTCAAATAATAACATTTTAATACAATTGTATACTAATGCATAAAATAATATGCTTATTCATATTTATGACCAACTAGTTGCTTTATTTTTATAGTGTGCTTGGACCTATATGCGCATGTCCCAATCCTGAAAGATGTTCCTAAAATTTTCTAAGCCACTATGGTGTCTTCCAACTTAATAGTTTGACAAATGCATTTCAAAGTTTTCAGATTTGCCTCGTTATTTGGTGGAGCAGCAAACAACCATATGTTCTTTCCACTATTATTGCGCTGCCAATAAATTTCCCCCAACATCACATCGACATCAAAACATTTAAACATTCCTACACAAACACACATACATATATATATATATATATATATATTCTGTCTAGAATAGAGATAGGAAACCCCGAGGAGTCGAACTCTCACCTTGTATATAAAGATAACTATTCTATCATTATATCTGTCATGAATTTGACATTATAGCTTGTGTACAAGAATGTTAGGATGAAGACAGATTGTCTTCATGATTGTCTTCATCTTAACGTTCTTGTACACAAGTTATAATGCCAAATTCATGAACTTAACCTTTTTCTTGTTCCTCTTTCCTTTTTCTTAACTTGTCCCTTTTCGTAACACTTAGAATTTAGACTATTCAAATTAATCGCCATAAAAAACAAAAATTAATTTGAAAAGAAAAGAGAGATGGAGAAATGCGAAGAACCTAGCTAGAAAGGCAAAGGCAGAGAGGTAGGATTAATCTCTGCATGAACTCTAATAAAAATGATAAAACGAGCCGAAAGCATAAAGCCAAGAGGGGTAGTTTAATTAACTAGCTTCTTCTTCTCTGCGCAAACAAAAATTATTATTGAAAATGAGATGAGA